CAGACCATAGCTCCCCATCCTTCTGCATCCAAAATCAGCCCACTGCAGACCATGACTCCCCGTCTACATGTATTGAAATTCAGCCTACTACCGACCATGACTTCTTGTCCATCTGTATCCAAAGTCAGCCCACTTCTGACCATGACTTCTTGTCCATCTGTACCCAAAGTCAGCCCACTACCAACCATGACTCCCTGTCCATCTGTGTCCAAAGTCAGCCCACTACCAACCATGACTCCCTGTCCATCTGTGTCCAAAGTCAGCCCACTACCGACCATGACTTCCTGTCTGTCTATATTAAAAGTCAGCTCACTACCGACCATGACTTCTTGTCCATCTGTATCCAAAGTCAGCCCACTTCTGACCATGACTTCTTGTCCATCTGTACCCAAAGTCAGCCCACTACCAACCATGACTCCCTGTCTATCTGTGTCCAAAGTCAGCCCACTACCGACCATGACTTCCTGTCTGTCTATATTAAAAGTCAGCTCACTACCGACCATGGCTACCTGTCTGTCTATATTAAAAGTCAGCCTTTTTACAGACCATGGCTTCCTATCCATCTCTATCTGAAGTCAGCCCAATATGGACCATGGCTTCCTCTTCATTTGTCCAAAGTCAGCCCTTCACAGACCATAGCTCCCCTTATATCTGTATACAACCTACTACAAACCATGGATCCTTGTCCATTTATATCCAAAGTCAGCCTACTATAGCCCATGGCTCCCTGTCCTCATGTATCCAATGTAAGCTCACTACACACCTTGGCTCCCTATCCACATATATCAAAGTCAGATCACTACAGACCTGTAGTGGGACACACGAGAACATCTGCATTCAAAGTGAGCCACTAGAGACCATGGCTCCCCATCAATTTATATCCAAAGTCAGCCCACTAGAGATTATGGCTCCCACCCATCTACATTCAAAGTCAGCCCACTACATACCTTGACTCCCTGTCCACATGTAGCCAAAATTAGCCCATTACAGATCATGGCACTCTGTCCATTTGTATCCAAGTCTGTAATAAGCTGATTTTGGATACAAATGGATGGGTAGCCATGATCTCTACTGGGCTGACTTTGCATACATGTGGACAGGGAGCCATAGTCTGTAGTGGGTTGACTATGGATACAGATGGACGGAGAGCCATGGGCTATACTGGGCTGACTTTGGATCCAGATTTTGGCTACAGATGGATGGAGAGACCATGGCTCCCTGTCCATCTGTATCCATAATCAGCCCACTACAGACCATTGCACCCTGTCCACATTTATCAAAAGTCAGCCCATTACAGACAATAGCTCCTTGTCCATTTGGATGGAAAGTCATTCCACTAAAGGCCTTGGCTCCGCATCCATCTGTATTCAATGTCCACCCACTAGAGACCATGGCTCCCCATCCTTTTGCATTCAATGTCTGCCCACTAGAGACCATGGCTCTCCATCCATCTGTATTCAATGTCTGCCCACTAGAGACCATGGCTCCCCATCCATCTGTATTCAAACTTAACCTACTAAAGACCATGGCTCTCCATCTCTATCCAGTCAGCCCACAGCTCCCTGTCCATCTGTATGCAATGTCTGCCCACTAGAGACCATGGCTCCTCCAGCCATCTGTATTCAATGTCTGCCCACTAGAGACCATGGCTCCTCCATCCATCTGTATTCAATGTCTGTCCACTACAGACCATGGCTCCCCATCCATCTGTATTCAATGTCTGCCCACTAGAGACAATGGCTCCTCCATTCATCTGTATTCAATGTCCACCCACTAGAGACCATGGCTCCTCATCCATTTGTTTCCAAAGTTAACCTACTAGAGACCATGGCTCTCCATCTCTATCCAGAGTCAGCCCACAGCTCCCATCCATCTGTATCCAAAGTCAGCCTACTACAGACCATGGCTCCCCATCCATCTGTATTCAAAGTCTTCCCAGTAGAGACCATGGCTCCTCATCCATCTGTATTCAGTGTTTGCCCACTAGAGACCATGGCCTCCCATCCATCTGTATTCAATATCTGCCCACTGGAGACCATGGCTCCTCATCCATCTGTATTCAATGTCTACCCGCTAGAGACCATGGCTCCCCATCCATCTGTATTCAATGTCCGCCCACTACAGACCATGGCTCCCCATCCATCTGTATTCAATGTCCGCCCACTACAGACCATAGCTCCCCATCCATCTGTATTCAATGTCTGCCCACTAGAGACCATGGCTCCTTATTCATCTGTATCCAAAGTTAACTTACTAGAGACCATGGCTCTGCATCTCTATCCAGAGTCGGCCCACAGCTCCCTGTCCATCTGTATCTAATGTCAGCCTACTACAGACCATGGCTCCCTGTCCATCTGTATTCAATGTCAGCCTACTACAGACCATGGCTCCCTGTCCATCTGTATTCAATGTCAGCCTACTACAGACCATGGCTCCCTGTCCATCTGTATTCAATGTCAGCCTACTACAGACCATGGCCCTGTCCATCTGTATTCAATGTCAGCCTACTACAGACCATGGCTCCCCGTCCATCTGTATCCAATGTCAGCCTACTACAGACCATGGCTCCCCATCCATCTGTATTCAATGTCAGCCTACCACAGACCATGGATCCCTGTCCATCTGTATTCAATATCAGCCTACTACAGACCATGGCTCCCTGTCCATCTGTATTCAATGTCAGCCTACTACAGACCATGGCTCCCTGTCCATCTGTATTCAATGTCAGCCTACTACAGACCATGGCTCCCTGTCCATCTGTATTCAATGTCAGCCTACTACAGACCATGACTCCCTGTCCATCTGTATTCAATGTCAGCCTACTACAGACCATGGCTCCCCATCCATCTGTATTCAATGTCAGCCTACTACAGACCATGGATCCCTGTCCATCTGTATTCAATGTCAGCCTACTACAGACCATGGCTCCCCATCCATCTGTATTCAATGTCAGCCTACCACAGACCATGGCTCCCCATCCATCTGTATTCAATGTCAGCCTACTACAGACCATGGCTCCCTGTCCATCTGTATTCAATGTCAGCCTACTACAGACCATGGCTCCCTGTCCATCTGTATCCAATGTCATAAAATGATAGAGGTATAAAACGAGAGCTAGGTAATAGGTTGATGAGCAGCTATCATGAAGGTGAACCTCAAAATCCTTCCATAAATAAATAAACGTATAAATGCAGCGCTTAGTAAAATGAGTAAAAAAATGAATATATCAACCTATATAAGTCTTGTAACAATCATAAATAAATGCGCTGTGGAGCGCTTCATCAACTAGTGTGAATAACGTCTAAATAATGACATTTAAGGTGCAGAACTGACATAAGACAAATAGTCATGTCAAAGTCCAGGTTCAGTCTGTGCCCAGGACTGGAGACGGGCGGATCGGGGGAGGAGGTTTTTTTTACTCATTTTACTAAGCACTGCATTTATACGTTTATGTATCCAATATCAGCCTACTACAGACCATGGCTCCCCATCCATCTGTATTCAATGTCAGCCTACTACAGACCATGGCTCCCTGTCCATCTTTATCCAATGTCAGCCTAATACAGACCATGGCTCCCTGTCCATCTTTATCCAATGTCAGCCTACTACAGACCATGACTCCCTGTCCATCTGTATCCAATGTCAGCCTAATACAGACCATGGCTCCCCATCCATCTTTATCCAATGTCAGCCTACTACAGACCATGGCTCCCCATCCATCTTTATCCAATGTCAGCCTAATACAGACCATGGCTCCCCATCCATCTTTATCCAATGTCAGCCTACTACAGACCATGGCTCCCTGTCCATCTGTATCCAATGTCAGCCTACTACAGACCATGGCTCCCCGTCCATCTGTATCCAATGTCAGCCTACTACAGACCATGGCTCCCCGTCCATCTGTATCCAACGTCAGCCTACTACAGACCATGGCTCCCCGTCCATCTGTATCCAACGTCAGCCTACCACAGACCATGGCTCCTGTCCATCTGTATCCAATGTCAGCCTACTACAGACCATGGCTCCCTGTCCATCTGTATCCAATGTCAGCCTACTACAGACCATGGCTCCCTGTCCATCTGTATCCAATGTCAGCCTACTACAGACCATGGCTCCCCGTCCATCTGTATCCAATGTCAGCCTACTACAGACCATGGCTCCCCGTCCATCTGTATCCAACGTCAGCCTACTACAGACCATGGCTCCCTGTCCATCTGTATCCAACGTCAGCCTACCACAGACCATGGCTCCCCGTCCATCTTTATCCAGTGTCAGCCTACTACAGACCATGGCTCCCTGTCCATCTGTATCCAATGTCAGCCTACTACAGACCATGCCTCCCTGTCCATCTGTATCCAATGTCAGCCTACTACAGACCATGGCTCCCCGTCCATCTGTATTCAATGTCAGCCTACCACAGACCATGGCTCCCTGTCCATCTTTATCCAATATCAACCTACTACAGACCATGGCTCCCCGTCCATCTGTATCCAACGTCAGCCTACTACAGACCATGGCTCCCCATCCATCTGTATCCAACGTCAGCCTACTACAGACCATGGCTCCCCGTCCATCTGTATCCAACGTCAGCCTACTACAGACCATGGCTCCCCGTCCATCTGTATCCAACGTCAGCCTACCACAGACCATGGCTCCCCGTCCATCTTTATCCAGTGTCAGCCTACTACAGACCATGGCTCCCTGTCCATCTGTATCCAACGTCAGCCTACTACAGACCATGGCTCCCCGTCCATCTTTATCCAGTGTCAGCCTACTACAGACCATGGCTCCCCGTCCATCTTCATCCAACGTCAGCCTACTACAGACCATGGCTCCCCGTCCATCTGTATCCAATGTCAGCCTACTACAGACCATGGTTCCCTGTTCCCATGTTCTAGAAGACAAATATAGCAGAACATGTACTTCTTTGGGAATTGCTTGCTGCACCATCACTTGGTGTCATTACATTTAGCGTCTCAATTTTGTTTTGTATGTTCCAGGCAAATCCCATTTGGCAATAGTTCAGCGAGTCAACAACGAAGGGGAAGGAGACCCATTCTATGAAGTGATGGGGATTGTAACCCTGGAGGATATCATAGAAGAGATCATCAAATCTGAAATCTTGGATGAGACGGATCTGTACAGTAAGTAGTTCAAACCTCGATTAAGTAAAATTGAGGATACTTTCATGCAGACCCAAAATTAGAACTTGAGTTTAGGTTTACCCCCCCCCACACACACACACACACACTGCTGCCTATTAACTGAGAAACCTGAAAAAAGTAGCCGAAGAGCCCCTACCTCCCCCCGAACCCAGCTTGGAGAAATAGTGAGCAATCTCCAGCTGTACCAAGCGGGAGGCCACCAATCTGATAGACCTGACTGGTAGCTCAGTCACGAAGGAGCAGAGCGCACGCGGCAGGCTGACAACACTGCTGCTATTTGCCAGTGTTAGTGCTTGGTGTTGTCACCCTGACACACAGAAGTGTTGTTACTGGCAGGATTTCCTGAAAAGAAACTTTGCAACAAGAAATGATTAGTGTAAGAAAATTGTGCACAATGAGGCATGATGCCAGAATAATACTGTAGATTGTGAGTGTACATACAAATGTGCTGAAAAGTCTCCCTCCCCTGGCAGAAATCACAACATTTTGGCATTTATAGTAAAAATCTGACTTGATGATGCCAAAAAAAACTTATATTGAAGGACGGTGATGATATGAAGCCATTTATTATCACAGAGCTGCTTTTTGATTCCTAATAACAGAAATCCCCCGACTGGCCCAGATCAGAAGTCTCCACCCCCGGATCAGAAGTCTCCACCCCCCAGACCAGAAGTCTCCACCCCTGGATCAGAGGTCTCCGCCCCCTGGAATGTTCGGCCTTGGTACAGACACACAAGGGGACACACACACAGGGTACAATGACAAATAAATGGTTCATTTTCCATCTGTGGCTTTTTACATTGCAATCAGTGTCAGTGTATAAATAGTGAGTGAGTTTGTTCGCTCTCACATGGATGCACTGAGCAGGGTAGATACTGAGCCATGGGGAGCAGAAAAGAACTGTCAAAAGACCTGCGTAACAAAGTAATGGAACTTTATAAAGATGGAAAAGGATATAAAAGATATCCAAAGCCTTGAATATGCTGGTCAGTGCTGTTCAATCACTTATTAAGTAGAAAATTCATGGATCTATTGATACCAAGCCAACTTCAGGTAGAGCAAGAATGATTGCAGCCACAACTTCCAGAATTGTTCGGGGTACAAAGAAAACCCCCCACAGGTAACCTCAGGAGAAATACGGGCTGCTCTGGAAAAAGACGGTGTGGTTGTTTCAAGGAGCACAATACGATGATACTTGAACAAAAATGAGCTGCATGGTGGAGTTGTCAGAAGCTTTCACTGCGCCAACGCCATACAAAATCCTGGTGAGGCACGTCAAGGTGTTGTCCGGCATGTTGTAGCTGGATTTTTTTGTGGCATTCGCACAGTAAAGGCTTCTTTCTGGCAACTTGACCATGCAGCTCATTTGTGTCTGTATTAAGGCCAAATATTACAGGCGATGGGAGACTTCTGATTCCATTTGGGGGATTTCTGTTATCATTAGGATTTAAAAAGGAGCCAAACAACGATGTGATCATAAATGGCGTCATATCATCGCTATCCTTCAATAAAAGACAGTTTTTTGGCATCAGTCATATTTTCATTATCCATGCCAAAATTTCACCATTTCTGCCAGGAGATCAAAACTTTGGAGCACAACTGTACACCTTACAATCCAACTGTGAGGTGGAGAAAAAAAAAAATCAACTGCAGTGAGAAGGGGGTCTAGGGGGTCCTGAAGAGGATGTAATACAGTGGGGCAAAAAAGTATTTAGTCCCCACCAATTGTGCAAGTTCTCCCACTTACAGAGATGAGAGAGGCCTGTAATTGGCATCATAGGGAGACCTCAACTATGAGAGACAAAATGAGAAAAACAAGAAAACAAATCCAGACAATCTCATTGGCTGATCTGGAAAGAATTGATTTGCAAATTATGGTGGAAAATAAGTATTTGGTGAATATGAAAAGTTCACTGTTGCTGGTATGTTGGCCCATCCTCCATGCAGATCTCCTCCTCCATGCAGATCTCCTCTAGAGCAGTGATGTTTTGGGGCTGTCGCTGGGCAACACGGACTTTCAACTCCCTCCAAAGGTTTTTTATGGGGTTGAGATCTGGAGACTGGCTAGGCCACTCCAGGACCTTGAAATGCTTCTTACGAAGCCACTCCTTCGTTGCCCGGGCGGTATGTTTGGGGTCATTGTCATGTTGGAAGACCCAGCCACGTTTCATCTTCAATGCCCTTGCTGATGGAAGGAGGTTTGCACTCAAAATCTCACGATACATGGCCCCATTCATTCTGTCCTGTACATGGATCAGTCGTCCTGGTCCCTTTGCGGAGAAACAGCCCCAAAGCATGATGTTGCCACCCCCATGCTTCACAGTAGGTATGGTGTTCTTTGGATGCAACTCAGCATTCTCTCTCCTCCAAACACGACGAGTTGTGTTTCTACCAAACCGTTCTATTTTGGTTTCATCTGACCATATGACATTCTCCCAATCCTCTTCTGGATCATCCAAATGCTCTCTAGCAAACTTCAGACGGGCCCCGGACATGTACTGGCTTAAGCAGGGGGACACGTCTGGCACTGCAGGATCTGAGTCCCTGGCGGCGTAGTGTGTTACTGATGGTAGCCTTTGTTACGTTGGTCCCAGCTCTCTGCAGGTCATTCACTAGGTCCCCCCATGTGGTCCTGGGATTTTTGCTCACCGTTCTTGTGATCATTTTGACCCCACGGGGTGAGATCTTGCGTGGAGCCCCAGATGGAGGGAGATTATCAGTGGTCTTGTATGTCTTCCATTTTCTAATTATTGCTCCCACAGTTGATTTGTTCACACCAAGCTGCTTGCCTATTGCAGATTCAGTCTTCCCAGCCTGGTGCAGGTCTACAATTTTGTTTCTGGTGTCCTTCGACAGCTCTTTGGTCTTCACCATAGTGGAGTTTGGAGTGTGACTGTTTGAGGTTGTGGACAGGTGTCTTTATACTGATAATGAGTGCAGGACAGAGGAGCCTCTTAAAGAAGAAGGTCCAGGTCTGTGAGAGCCAGAAATCTTGCTTGTTTGTAGGAGACCAAATACTTATTTTCCACCATAATTTGCAAATCAATTCTTTCCAGATCAGCCAATGAGATTGTCTGGATTTGTTTTCTCATTTTGTCTCTCATAGTTGAGGTCTCCCTATGATGCCAATTACAGGCCTCTCTCATCTTTGTAAGTGGGAGAACTTGTACCATTGGTGGGGACTAAATACTTTTTTGCCCCACTGTACTTACCTTACATCCCACTCTGGCAGGCTTCAGTGCTCCCTCTTCTCCCCTCGGCTTTGGGCTGTGGGTGGTCTATTGGGGTCATTGGGGACAATGCAGGGCTCTTAACCCTGTGTTGTACATGGAGGAGGCAGGTGTTTGACCACAGATGGGAGTGCCTTAGTGAGGAGTTTTTTTTAGGAGCAGTCACATGGATGGAGGGAGCCTACAGGAGCGAGGAGTGAAGTAAGAATCTGAACTCTGTTCTCTTTATCTCCGTACCCCTAGGCGTGAAGCCTAGCTATTGGGTTGATTTAACTTTAAATAGATTGTTTGTGCCAAGCTGGTTGAACCTTTAAAATCCCTGCAGCATTGTGTGTGTGGTTTTTTTTTTTTGCAATTTTATTGGATTTCTTTGTGACAGAACAATATAAACGTCTAGAGACACCCATATAGAAACCCTTCCCACGTGCCATTCCATTGCTTTCAGAGTTCCCAATGCACCCTGAGCCACCAATATACATATGACAGATACCCTGGTATTAATGGTGGGAATGTGGGCAACCCAGTGAGGAGACCAGACCCAAGAAAACCTTCTCCTCTCCTCTTGTTGATGGAAACCCAGAAAGTGAACCAAAATTGAGGAAACCTTCTCTGCTTGCTGATGGAAACCATGACACCCATTTAAACGATTTTGGTGTCAAGGTGGTTTCTGGGTTGTCCACATCTCTGCCATTCCTGGCACTAGTGGTCATGAGATTGGGCAATGTGGACAATCTAGATGGTGGACCAAAACTGAGAAAAACCTTCTCCTCTTGCTGATGGAAACCACGATACCCATTTACAGGATTTTGGTGTCAAGATGCTTTCTGGGTTGTCCACATCTCTGCCATTCCTGGCACTAATGGTCATAAGATTGGGCAATGTGAACAATCTAGATGGTGGACCAAAACTGAGAAAAAACCTTCTCCTCTTGCTGATGGAAACCATGATACCAATTTACAGGATTTTGGTGTCAAGGTGGTTTCGGGGTTGTCCATATCTCTGCCATTCCTGGCACTAGTGGTCATAAGATTGGGCAATGTGGACAACCTAGATAGTGGACCAAAACTGATTAAACCTTCTCCTCTTGCTGATGGAAACCACATTTACAGGATTTTGGTGTCAAGATGGTTTCTGGGTTGTCCATATTTCTGCCATTCCTGGGACTAGTGGTCATAAGATTGGGCAATGTGGACAACCTAGATAGTGGACCAAAACTGAGAAAAACCTTCTCCTCTTGCTGATGGAAACCACGATACCCATTTACAGGATTTTGGTGTCAAGATGCTTTCTGGGTTGTCCACATCTCTGCCATTCCTGGCACTAATGGTCATAAGATTGGGCAATGTGAACAATCTAGATGGTGGACCAAAACTGAGAAAAACCTTCTCCTCTTGCTGATGGAAACCATGATACCAATTTACAGGATTTTGGTGTCAAGGTGGTTTCGGGGTTGTCCATATCTCTGCCATTCCTGGCACTAGTGGTCATAAGATTGGGCAATGTGGACAACCTAGATAGTGGACCAAAACTGAGAAAACCTTCTCCTCTTGCTGATGGAAACCACATTTACAGGATTTTGGTGTCAAGATGGTTTCTGGGTTGTCCATATTTCTGCCATTCCTGGGACTAGTGGTCATAAGATTGGGCAATGTGGACAACCTAGATAGTGGACCAAAACTGAGAAAACCTTCTCCTCTTGCTGATGGAAACCACGATACCCATTTACAAGATTGCGGTGTGAAGGTGGTTTCTGATTGGTCCACATCGCTGCCATTCCCCGAACTAGTGGTCCAATGTGGACTCCAGACAGGTCGGCTTTATAATTACCGTCAGATCCAGATCTTGTCCCCTCCTCTCTCTGTAATCCTTTCTGCATACTTTGTATATATTCTTTATATTATATTGTTGATTAAAAATAAAAAAATAAGTATCTCTTACCTTCTGCCTGCTAATAATATGTACAAAGGTTGTTGGAGGGGAATTACTTGGATCACTGAAGGCTTCAGCAGGCATCCAATATGGTTTTTTCTATGTACAGGTGATAATTCTTAGACATCCAGAATGTTGACTTCCAGACAAGTCCGTTGGGTTCAGTTTTCTATTAATAACAATGTTTCTAATTTTATATATATTTTTTTATTATTTGGAACATTTTCTATCAGCTGATAACAGGAAAAAGGAAAGAATTCCCCATCGAGAGAGGAAACAACATGACTTCTCCCTATTTAAGCTTTCTGACAGTGAGATGAAGGTGAAGATTTCTCCTCAGCTCCTCCTGGCCACCCATCGCTTCATGGCTACAGGTAAGTACTGCTAGAGCGACCATTAGGTTCAAAACGCACTCCTAGAGACTCGGTGCTGAGGGACCATTTCCACCCGGACCTACAATGTCTGTGAAATACAGAATTCATTAATAAATGTTTCTGTGAGGGCCCCGATCAATCCCTGCTTTACAGTTTTGCAGACACGTTTCACTACTTAATGATGGCTGTACACATGTATGGACTGCACCGCATGCCATCCCGCCACATACAGTATGCGTGTACAGGGAGTATGCTCCATAACGCCCCCTAGCACACAGGACCTGCTGTCAGTGATTCCTCCTAGGCTGGAACTAATGATCAGGAGCCGCTAGGAGGAGCCTCTGATCATGTGATCACTCTGATAGGATCCCTTGTATCTGGTGCTCCTCCATCTATACATTGGGAAACATTCCCCAGTGTTTGTTTTTTTATCGCAGTCACATCCCAATAAATTAGGCTAAAGTAACGTAATGACTTGGCACGGCATTAGCCACAATCTTCTATACCTGCTGCACCGGCGTGATATTTGTGACTTGCTGCATACGGATGGTGGCACGGCACTATTTTACAGACTTGTACTAAACCTGTGACGGCTGTAATGGGAGCGACTCAGACTGCGCTTGGGTACTTCTGTTGGAATACCGCTTCCCCGTCCGAACACCGACCACCGACACCACCGCTGACCATACAAGACTAGGCGACACCAATCTGTCCGAACACCGACCACTGACACCACCGCTGACCATACAAGACTAGACGACACCAATCTGTCCGAACACCGACCACTGACACCACAGAGACCATACAAGACTAGATGACACCAATCTGTCCGAACACCGACCACTGACACCACAGAGACCATACAAGACTAGACGACACCAATCTGTCCGAACACCGACCACTGACACCACCGCTGACCATACAAGACTAGATGACACCAATCTGTCCGAACACCGACCACTGACACCGCCACTGACCATACAAGACTAGGCGACACCAATCTGTCCGAACACCGACCACAGACACCACCGCTGACCATACAAGACTAGATGACACCAATCTGTCCGAACACCGACCACTGACACCACAGAGACCATACAAGACTAGACACCAATCTGTCTGAACACCGACCACTGACACCACAGAGACCATACAGGACTAGGCGACACCAATCTGTCCGAACACCGACCACCGACACCACCGCTGACCATACAGGACTAGACGACACCAATCTGTCCGAACACTGACCACAGACACCACCGCTGACCATACAAGACTAGATGACACCAATCTGTCCGAACACCGACCACTGACACCACAGAGACCATACAGGACTAGACGACACCAATCTGTCTGAACACCGACCACTGACACCACCGCTGACCATACAGGACTAGACGACACCAATCTGTCCGAACACCGACCACAGACACCACCGCTGACCATACAAGACTAGGCGACACCAATCTGTCCGACCACCGACCACTGACACCACCGCTGACCATACAAGACTAGATGACACCAATCTGTCCGAACACCGACCACAGACACCACCACTGACCATACAAGACTAGGCGACACCAATCTGTCCGACAACCGACCACTGACACCACAGAGACCATACAAGACTAGGCGACACCAATCTGTCCGAACACCGACCACTGACACCACCGCTGACCATACAAGACTAGACGACACCAATCTGTCCGAACACCGACCACTGACACCACCGCTGACCATACAAGACTAGATGACACCAATCTGTCCAAACACCGACCACCGACACCACCGCTGACCATACAAGACTAGACGACACCAATCTGTCCGAACACCGACCACTGACACCACCGCTGACCATACAAGACTAGACGACACCAATCTGTCCGAACACCGACCACCGACACCACCGCTGACCATACAAGACTAGACGACACCAATCTGTCCGAACACCGACCACTGACACCACCGCTGACCATACAAGACTATACGACACCAATCTGTCCGAACACCGACCACTGACACCACAGAGACCATACAAGACTAGATGACACCAATCTGTCCGAACACCGACCACTGACACCACCGCTGACCATACAGGACTAGACGACACCAATCTGTCCGAACACCAACCACTGACACCACTGCTGACCATACAAGACTAGGCGACACCAATCTGTCCGAACACCGACCACTGACGCCACAGAGACCATACAAGACTAGACGACACCAATCTGTCTGAACACCGACCACTGACACCACCGCTGACCATACAAGACTAGGCGACACCAATCTGTCCGAACACCGACCACTGACACCACAGAGACCATACAAGACTAGATGACACCAATCTGTCCGAACACCGACCACTGACACCACCGCTGACCATACAAGACTAGACGACACCAATCTGTCCGAACACCGACCACCGACACCACCGCTGACCATACAAGACTAGACGACACCAATCTGTCCGAACACCGACCACTGACACCACCGCTGACCATACAAGACTAGACGACACCAATCTGTCCGAACACCGACCACTGACACCACAGAGACCATACAAGACTAGACGACACCAATCTGTCCGAACACCGACCACTGACACCACCGCTGACCATACAAGAATAGGCGACACCAATCTTGAAGTAATCCAGAAGGTAGACTAGTTTATTTGAACACAGATACAAGATATATACACTCGGGAAAATCCCCCCTCCCTGCATAATGACACAGGGTGGGGCAATCTACATTTAGTAACAAGAGACACACAGGTATTCAAACTTCACACCAGCAGACAGTCCCATCAGGAGGGAGGGCTGCTGGAGACACCCCACCCCCACCAAGCCAATACACACAAACACATACATCCCATAATAGTTTGCTTCCAAGCCAGACACACAATAGAACAATGGGATACAACCACATGACACCAAACAATCCAAACCCCCCCCCCCCCCATATTAGGACAGATCACCCTGTTCCCCTAACAGGCACAGGGGGACTTACACATAAGAGGGATATGGGGAGCTGAGACAGGGGTCTCCCCACCCCTCCAAAGTGAGCTGTGTTCTATGGGCCCCCACCCAAAGTGAGCCGTGTTCCATGGGCCCCCCACCCAAAGTGAGCTGTGTTCCATGGGCCCCCCACCCAAAGTGACTCCCGTCACAACGGCTCTTTGAATCTGATGTTCATCGCAGTTCAAAAGCCACCAAAGAAAAGATGAAGCCTGGATTTTCGAAGGTACCATGTACCCTGTACTTAAATTTATTTATTTCAGGTTCTTATATATCGGCATCAATTTACACAGCGCTTTACATATATATTGTACATTCACATCAGTCCCCGCCCCCGAGGAGCGTACAATCCAAGGTTCCTAGCTTACATTCATACATACACATACTAGGGACAATTTAGACAGGAGCCAATTCACCTCCCAGCATGTCTTTGGAGTGTTTCCATTAAACATCTATAAAAATAGCTACATGTGCCTACAATACCCATAAAGCAACATGGGATATTGTAACGGAACCGACCCAGACTGCGCCGAGTACTTCCGTTAGGATAACACTTCCCTGTCCGATCACTGACCACAGACACCACCGCTGACCATACAAGACCAGACGACACCAATCTTGAAGTAAACCAGGAAGTAGACTACTTTATTTGAACACAGATACAAGATATGTACACTCAGGGGACAACCCCCCTCCCTGCATAATGACACAGGGCGGGACAACCCCCCTCCCTGCATAATGACACAGGGTGGGGCAATCCCCCCTCCCTGCATAATGACACAGGGCGGGGCAATCCCCCCTCCCTGCATAATGACACAGGGCGGGGCAATCTACATTTAGTAACAAGAGACACACCAACAGACAGTCCCATCAGGAGGGAGGGCTGCTGGAGGCACCCCCCACCAAGCAAATACACATAAACACATACATCCCATAATAGTTTGCTCCCAAGCAAGACACACAATAGAACAATGGGATGCAACCACATGGCATTAAAGAATCAACAACCCCCCACCCCAGTATTAGGACAGAATACTCTGTACCCCTAACAGGCACAGGGTGACTTACACATAAGAGGGATATGGGAGCTGAGACAGGGGTCTCCCCACCCCTCCAAAGTGAGCTGTGTTCTATGGGCCCCCCACCCACAGTGGCTCCCGTCACAGATATCTTTTGTTTCCCATAGATGTTGACTATCACAAAATTGTACAATCCCCATTCATTTAGGCCCCCCTATTTGTACTCGATCAGCTATCCCGTCATATACAAATTGGAACGACAATATATGTATATTTATTACTATTGTTTCTTCACCCCACTACGGGTACAACCATTATACACATATGCCGTATTCTCGTATATGTCAGGAGTAGGAAAAATTTATTTTTCTTTTTTCGGTGTCGGGTCATGATAATGGCAGGAAATATATGTCAAAAGTTTACATTTTTATTTTGTTTCTTACTATTTTGAGCCTGATTTAAAAAAATTAAAAATCAGGAGATCTCCATTATCATCTACCACCAAATTAAGACCTAATTTATCCTAAAAAACAACTGTAATTCACCCGGATGCACGAAGTTGCTGTAAAGACATGGACAGTTTTACTGAGACATATCAAAGCTGCAGAACTGGGTTGGGGGGTTAAGATGTTTGACTGGTCATTAAGGGGTTAAACTTGTTTGTGCTGCCAATGCAATTCCGCTGTTTGATACCAATTTCAGGCTAAAGTGATGTACAGTCCAGGCTGGCGGTCAGTAATATTGATCCCCCACCCCCCCCATCCTCATTAATGAGCTGAGAAGGGCCAGGACGATGTTCTTACCCAGCAAATCTGGAGAACCAGAGCACCCTGGGTAATGAACGGGTAGACCAGTTTTACCTGAAAAGATGGCTGCTGTATTGTGGCAGCAGAAACGTTGACTTTGAGTTGAGTTTGCTCCACTTTAGGATCATCTTAACTAGAGATGAGCGAATCGAACCAGGCGAACCGGAATTCG